CACTATTCTTCCCACAGACACCAATAATGGGGCACGATTCCTCCCATTGACACCAATGATGGGGCACTATTCCTCCCATTGACACCAATGATGGGGCACTATTCCTCTCAATGACACCAATGATGGGACACTATTCCTCCCACTGACAACAACAGTGGGGCACTATTCCTCCCAATGACACCAAGGATGGGGCACTATTCCTCCCAATGACACCAATGATGGGGCTTGATTCCTCCCACTGACACCAATGATGGGGCACTATTCCTCCCAATGACACCAATGATGGGACACTATTCCTCCCACTGACAACAACAGTGGGGCACTATTCCTCCCAATGACACTAATAATGGGGCACTATTCCTCCCAATGACACCAATGATGGGGCTTGATTCCTCCCACTGACACCAATGATGGGGCACTATTCCTCCCAATGACACTAATGATGGGGCACTATTCCTCCCAATGACACCAATGATGGGGCACTATTCCTCCCACTGACAACAACAGTGGGGCACTATTCCCCCCAATGACACCAATGATGCACCGCTATGACACCGCTATTTCTCCCACTGACACCAATCATGGGGCACTATTCCTCCAACCAACACCAACATTGGGGCACTATTCCTTACCACTTACACCAATGATGGGACACTATTTCTCCCGCTGCCACCAATGATGGGATACTATTCCTCCCACTGACACCAATGATGGGGCGCTATTTCTCCCACTGACACCAATCATGGGGCACTATTCCTCCCACTGACACCAATGATGGGGCACTATTCCTCCCCACTGATACCAATGATGGGGCACTATTCCTCCCACTGATACCAATGATGGGGCACTATTCCTCCCACTGACACCAATCATGGGGCACTATTCCTCCACAGACAACAGTGGGGCACTATTCCCCTCACTGACACCAATGATGGGACACTATTCCTCCCACTGACACCAATGATGGGGCACTATTCCTCCCACTGACACCAATGATGGGGCACTATTCCTTCCACTGACACCAATGAAGGGGTAATATTCCTCCCACTGACACCAATGATAGGGCGCTATTCCTCCCACTGACACCAATGATGGGGCACTATTCCTCCCACTGACACCAATGACGGGGCACTATTCCTCCCACTGACACAGTATATCTGAAATGAATTTTTAAAAATATTTTTCATAAATTTTGTAATAAAAGCGCATTTCAACATGCAGTATATATATATATATATATAGAAATATATTGAATACGGCCAAGATTGTAGTATTTCTAATACATGGCAATATATTTGGGAAGAATCGTTTTTAAAATGTATTTCAAATATATTTTTCTTGCATGTGGGTTAGACTGGCAGATACCAGAACTACAGGTCCTATGAGAACCTGATCCGCCTACAGAATGATTTTTATCTCGGCTCACATTGGACAAAAGATCCTTCAGCTGCTCCACATCCTTCTCGTTCTGACGCACGCGGGACGCAAGGGAAGTGAGCGTCAGGCTGCAAGACAGGAAGATTATTTGGGGTGAAAAAGATCAGAAATAGTCACAGGAGAGGAATGTAGAAGCACAGAAATAAAACTGTGTGTGATCCGCATTAAAAGACATTAGATGTCATATATCGATGTGGTGGCTGCATTGGCTTTTCTTTTTTCAGGCTGTTTTTCCTTTATTAGCACCTGGTGATCCTGCCAGTAACACTCCTCCTGTCCTAGGGTGACAACGCTCACTCTTTTAAAAATATGGCCTGATGAAGGAGCATGCAAGCTCCGAATGTGCTCCATGCATATGCTGCACTCTTGCCCACCCTGTGGATCCATGCTGACCAGAAAATACTGGGAGCCACCAGCACAACCAAGGACAGTGCATTGGAGACCTGCCTGCAGCTGGACCGGACCAGAGTCGCACCGCGGTTGCCACCTCATCCCTTTAAGCCCACTGATATGGTGCGGAAACTGCAGCATTTTCTGTATGAATTCTGCACCGCATCAGAATCGCATGATATACATACATGAGCGTGCTTGTGATCCAGCCCTGTGCATGAGGTGAGCAGCATCCCCCCCAGCGCCCCAATACATGAGCCTGCTTGTGATCCAGCACTGTGCACGAGGTGAGCAGCATCCCCCCCCCAATACATGAGCCTGCTTGTGATCCAGCACTGTGCACGAGGTGAGCAGCATCCCCCCCCCAATAAATGAGCCTGCTTGTGATCCAGCACTGTGCACCAGGTGTGCAGCATCCCCCGCAGCCCCCCAATACATGAGCCTGCTTGTGATCCAGCACTGTGCATGAGGTGAGCAGCATCCCCCCCAGCCTCCCAATACATGGGCCTGCTTGTGATCCAGCAATGTGCACGAGGTGAGCAGCATCCCCCCCAGCCTCCCAATACATGAGCCTGCTTGTGATCCAGCACTGTGCACGAGGTGAGCAGCATCCTCCCCAGCCCCCCAATACATGAGCCTGCTTGTGATCCAGCAATGTGCACGAGGTGAGCAGCATCCTCCCCAGCCCCCCAATACATGAGCCTGCTTGTGATCCAGCAATGTGCACGAGGTGAGCAGCATCCCCCTCAGCCCCCCAATACATGAGCCTGCTTGTGATCCAGCACTGTGCACGAGGTGAGCAGCATCCCCCCCCCCAATAAATGAGCCTGCTTGTGATCCAGCACTGTGCACCAGGTGTGCAGCATCCCCCCCAGCCTCCCAATACATGAGCCTGCTTGTGATCCAGCAATGTGCACGAGGTGTGCAGCATCCCCCCCAGCCCCCCAATACATGAGCCTGCTTGTGATCCAGCACTGTGCACAAGGTGTGCAGCATCCTCCCCAGCCCCCCAATACATGAGCCTGCTTTTGATCCAGCACTGTGCACGAGGTGAGCAGCATCCCCCACATCCCCCCAATACATGAACCTGCTTGTGATCCAGCACTGTGCACGAGGTGAGCAGCATCCCCCCCCAGCCCCCCAATACATGAGTCTGCTTGTGATCCAGCACTGTGCACGAGGTGTGCAGCATCCCCCCCACCCTCAATACATGAGCCTGCTTGTGATCCAGCACTGTGCATGAGGTTTGCAGCATCCCCCCCCAGCCCCCCAATACATGAGCCTGCTTGTGATCCAGCACTGTGCATGAGGTGTGCAGCATCCCCCCCAACCCCCCAATACATGAGCCTGCTTGTGATCCAGCACTGTGCATGAGGTGTGCAGCATCCCCCACAGCCCCCCAATACATGAGCCTGCTTGTGATCCAGCACTGTGCACAAGGTGAGCAGCATCCCCCCCAGCCCCCCAATACAGGAGCCTGCTTGTGATCCAGCACGGTGCACGAGGTGAGCAACATCCCCCCCAGCCCCCCAATACATGAGCCTGCTTGTGATCCAGCACTTTGCACGAGGTGTGCAGCATCCCCCCCAGCCCCCCAATACATGAGCCTGCTTGTGATCCAGCACTGTGCATGAGGTGTGCAGCATCCCCCACAGCCCCCCAATACATGAGCCTGCTTGTGATCCAGCACTGTGCACAAGGTGAGCAGCATCCCCCCCAGCCCCCCAATACAGGAGCCTGCTTGTGATCCAGCACTGTGCACGAGGTGAGCAACATCCCCCCCAGCCCCCCAATACATGAGCCTGCTTGTGATCCAGCACTTTGCACAAGGTGTGCAGCATCCCCCCCCAGCCCCCCAATACATGAACCTGCTTGTGATCCAGCACTGTGCAAGAGGGAAATGGCTTTCCTGGGTCTCCCCCTCCTCATTGGCTCACAGACACACAGAGGCGGCTCAGGAGTGAGCACACAGGAGTGCCCCTAGAGAAAGCAGCTTGCCTTGGGGGTACTCAGTGGACGGAGGAGCAGGAGCGCCGGTGGGGGACCTGAGAAAGAGGAGGGCTGGGGCTGCTTTGGGAACAACCATTACACAGAGCAGGTAAGTGTGCGTTAATTAACAAAAAAACAGGAACCTTTAGTATCACTTTAAGGGCCGGATCACACTATAAAAAATGACACTAAAAAAAGTCCAGATGTGTTCCAAATGCGTTTCTGCGTCAGCGTTTGACGCATTCTGGTGCGTTTTTTTTAAGTGTTCCAGTTACTTTTTCCCCTCTCTTTTTCTTTAATTTAAATAGGGACGTGCATTCTAGTGCGTTTTTTTGTGTGTTTTGGTGCGTTCCAATGTGTTTTTGATGCATTTTACTGTGTTCCAGTACAGTTCTGTGCAGGAAAAATGCAGACTCTTCTACTTCTGCATCCGGAACGCAATGGAAAGCGCTCATGTGAGCTAAAAAAAAAAGTAGAACAGGCTGCATTTTTCCTGCACAGAACTGCACTGGAATACACCAAAAACTGGAACTGCAAGCGCTGATTTGAACTATGACATTGACAACCACATCACCTACTTTCTGTGTGTTTTGGATGCAGAAAAAAAAGCAACTGAAACGCATGGAGTGTGAACCGGCACTAAGAAATGACAAAGTTGTTGCAGAATAACAGATCCATATCAGAACTGTATAAATTGCTCTGGTCCATAGGGGGCGACCTGGAGTGAGAGGGGAAGTAACTCACCAAAGTACAAAGAGCAGGGTGTAGGCGCCGGTCTCTGATGTGGCATATCCCAGCACTGCCAGGACTGTAGGGGCAGCGCTGAGCGAGTGCTGTTCTGAACGGCCTCCCAGGGAGTGGTGTGTTCAACAAACGGGCCGCAGGAGTGAGACGGACGGACGCTGGTGGAAGAAGGAGAAAGAAAAGTTCAGCAATTCAAACACCATTAATAACAACCAGTTCCCGCTCTACTCATGGCTCTCGTCAGGTCTGGATCTGCCCTCAGGCACAGCAGGCTTTCCCCTATAGACTGCACAGGAAACGGGGCAACTTATCCTGGGACAATTATTGGTTACATCACCAGCAGAACCTCCATCTGACTTTCAGCCTCCCCATCAGTCTTGCACAGGTGTACTGGCTCCTCCCCTTCAGGCATGCACAGGTGTATTGGCTCCTCCCCTTCAGTCTTGCACAGGTGTTCCGGCTCCTCCCCTTCAGTCTTGCACAGGTGCACTGGCTCCTCCCCTTCAGTCTTGCACAGGTGCATCGGCTCCTCCCCTTCAGTCTTGCAGAGGTGTTCTGGCTCCTCCCCATCAGTCTTGCACAGGTGTACTGGCTCCTCCCCTTCAGTCATGCACAGGTGTACTGGCTCCTCCCCTTCAGTCTTGCACAGGTGTACTGGCTCCTCCCCTTCAGTCATGCACAGGTGTTCCGGCTCCTCCCCTTCAGTCTTGCACAGGTGCACCGGCTCCTCCCCTTCAGTCTTGCACAGGTGCACCAGCTTATCCCCTTCAGTCTTGCACAGGTGTACTTGCTCCTCTCCTTCAGTCTTGCACAGGTGTACTGGCTCCTCCCCTTCAGTCTTGCACAGGTGCACCAGCTTATCCCCTTCAGTCTTGCACAGGTGTACTTGCTCCTCTCCTTCAGTCTTGCACAGGTGTACTGGCATGTCAGCTGATCCCATGTTCATAGGTCTCTCATATAACACACACATATACACACACATACACACACATACACATATACACACACATACATAAACATAAAAAAAACACACACACACATACACACACATACACATATACACAAAAACATACACACATACACATACATACACATACATACACATACATACACATACACACACATACACACACATACACACACATACATACACATACATACACAAACATACACACACACATACACACACATACACACACATACATACATAATATTTTTCCCCTCACCTGGTCACAAGATAAATCAGAGGCAGGAGGACGGTGATGAGTCCCAGGAGAAGGACGAAGCAGAAGATGATCCTCAGGGTGGAGGCTCGGTACAGTTTCTTGGACACGTCACACAGCCGGTACAGAGAATACTGCGGGGGGCGCAGCAAACAAAGACGTTAGATGGAAAGTGCAATGGGAGGGATTTACTAGAACTGGAGAGTGCAAAATCTGGTGCAGCTGTGCCTGGGAGCCAATCAGCTTCTAACTTCAGTTTATTCAATTAAGCTTTGGCAATAAAACCTGGAAGCTGATTGGTTACTAGGCAGAGCTGCACCAGATTCTGCATTCTTCAGTTTTAGTAAATCTCCCCCCATTATGCGTGTTGTGTTAGTGTAAACTTTGAGTCACTCTTACTGTATGTAAGTTAAAGTCATTTTCACACATCTTTTAAATTGTATCACCAACGATGGGGCACTATTCCTGCCACTGACACCAATGATGGGGCACTATAACTATTCCTGCCACTGACACCAATGATGGGGCACTATTCCTGCCACTGATACCAATGATGGGGCACTATTCCTGCCACTGACACCAATGATGGGGCACTATTCCTCCCACTGATACCAATGATGGGGCACTATTCCTCCCACTGACACCAATGATGGGGCACTATTCCTCCCACTGACACCAATGATGGGGCACTATTCCTCCCACTGATACCAATGATGGGGCACTATTCCTCCCACTGATACCAATGATGGGGCACTATTCCTCCCACTGACACCAATGATGGGGCACTATTCCACCCACTGATACCAATGATGGGGCACTATTCCTCCCACTGATACCAATGATGGGACACTATTCCTCCCACTGATACCAATGATGGGGCACTATTCCCCCCACTGATACCAATGATGGGACACTATTCCTTCCACTGATACCAATGATGGGGCACTATTCCTCCCACTGACACCAATGATGGGGCACTATTCCTCCCACTGACACCAATGATGGGGCACTATTCCTCCCACTGACACCAATGATGGGGCACTATTCCTCCCACTGACACCAATGAGGGGGCACTATTCCTCCCACTAATACTAATGATGGGGCACTATTCCTGCCACTGACACCAATGATGGAGCACTATTCCTGCCACTGACACCAATGGTGGGGCACTATTCCTGCCACTGACACCAATGGTGGGGCACTATTCCTGCCACTGACAGTATTCCTCCTACTGACCACAGGTAGTATGACATTTTTTTGCTCCCACTGGCCATAGTCTAGACCCCCTAAACGTCTGGAGGATCATAAACTGGATAAAAGGGGTTAAACATAGACCTTTGATTATTAATCTCTAGAAGGAGCTCAGTATTCACAGTTTTACTCTCCCTCTCTGCTTACCAGCTGCTCAGATATCAGCCCCACAGGGAGAGCATTGTTTTCACTAGGACTTCCATTGTGAGATGGAGCAGCAAGTGCTGAGCCCATATATGAAAGGAAAAAAAGTGCCCCCAAGTATATATATCATCATAAATATTATACAGAAATATGTTTTTTAAATTCCGAAAGTTATTTACATCAGGCTGGTCTCTTTAACATGTAAAACTAAAGAATTGTGGAAAGACTAGACAGTCTTTTTGGGGTTTACATAACAGGATCTGTCCTCTCACCTTTTTAATATAGAAGGTGATAAAGATGAAGATGAGGTTGAGAAGTGGAAGTAAGGGGGCGTAGAACATTCCTCCCATCACCAGCGTCTGGCTGTACACTGTATCCAGGACATTCTGCGAGAGGTGAAATTTTTCCTTGCCAAGCCAACGCACCACACGACACTGCAACCTGGAGATCAGGAACCTGGTGGAGGAAAAAGGGAGGTCAATGGCTTACAAATACATGGAGAAACCCAATCCTCCCCCCTCTTTAGCTACAACATGTTGGACAGGTTGTATTCCATTGGGTACTTACTTCCTGATCTGGTGGACTTGTCCCCACCTACAAAGTTATAGAAGAAGTCTTCAATCTCATAAAACCTACAAGTAGGACAACCATAGACCTGTGCCCCTGGAAGTGTCAAGTTCATGATACTTCGTTCTCCATAGACTCATAAAAAAGTAAAGGATTCCACATCTTATTGTGTGATTCCTAAATGCCGGGGATCACCAGCGATGTCCACAATTAAAAAATGGATCCAAAAAGAAGACTATATAAGGCTGGAAGAACTTATACACAACCAAAATTTTATAATATCTAGACATATTGGGAACAAGATATGACATATAAACCATGTCTCAGGACTATAATGAACTTGAGGCGAAGGACATATGGACAAACCCAATCCTCAGCCAGACCCGGCTGTGTCAATGGGCCCCTCTCCACCTACAACATGGTGGAAAGGTTGTATTCCATTGGGAACTTACTCCCTTATCTGGTGGACTTGTCTCCACCTACAAAGTTATAAAAGAAGTCTTCAATCTCATAAAACCTACAAGTAGGACAACCATAGACCTGTTCCCCTGGAAGTGTCAAGTTCATAATACCTTTGTTCCCCACAGACTCATAAAAAAAAAGTCAAGGATTCCACATCTTATTGTGTGATTTCCAAATGCCAGGGGTCATCAGTGATGTTCACAATTAAAAAATGGATCCAAGACTGTATAAGAATGGAAGAACTTATACACAACCAAATGACTTTCATAAGAAATGTTATAATAGCTAGACTTATTGGAAACAAGATATGACATATAAACCATATTTCAGGACTATAATCAACTTGAGGTGATGGTCATATGGACACCCGGCTACGTCAATGGGCCCCTCCTCACCTACAACATGGTGAACAGGTTGTAATCCATTGGGTACTTACTCCCGTGTCTAGTGGACTTGTCCCCACCTACAAACCTATTGGAGAGAAGTCTTCAATCTCTCAATCTCATAAAAAGTAGGACAGCTATAGACCTGGACCCCTGGAAGTGTCAAGTTCATGATACCTTTGTTCTCCAAAGACTCATAAAAAAAAGTCAAGGATTCCACATCTTCTTGTTGTGTGATTTCTATATGCCGGGGATCATCAGTGATGTCCACAATTAAAAATGGATCCAAGACTATATAAGTATGGAAGAACGTATACACAACCAAATGATTTTCATAAGAAATGTTATAATAGCTAGACTTATTGGAAACAAGATATGACATATAAACCATGTCTCAGGACTATAATCAACTTGAGGCGAAGGTCATATGGACAAACCCACCTACGTCAATGGGCCCCTCTTCACCTATAACATGGTAAACAGGTTGTAATCCATTGGGTTCTTACTCCCATATCTAGTGGACTTGTCCCCACCTACAAACCTATTGGAGAGAAGTCTTCAGTCTCTCAATCTCATAAAAAGTAGGACAGCTATAGACCTGGACCCCTGGAAGTGTCAAGTTCATGATACTTCGTTCTCCATAGACTCATAAAAAAAGTAAAGGATTCCACATCTTATTGCGTGATTCCTAAAATGCCGGGGATCACCAGCGATGTCCACAATTTAAAAAATGAATCCAAAAAGAAGACTATGTAAGACTGCAAGAACTTATACACAACCCAAATTTTATAATATTTAGACTTATTGGAAACAAGATATGACATATAAACCATGTCTCAGGACTATAATGAACTTGAGGCGAAGGACATATGGACAAACCCAATCCTCAGCCAGACCCGGCTACGTCAATGGGCCCCTCTCCACCTACAACATGGTGGAGAGGTTGTAATCCATTGGGTACTCCTATATCTGGTGGACTTGTCCCCACCTACAAACCTATTGGAGAGAAGTCTTCAATCTCATAAAAAGTAGGACAACCATAGACCTGAACCCCTGGAAGTGTTAAGTTCATAATATGTTGTTCTCCATAAAAAAGCCAAGGATTCCACATCTTCTAGATGCCAGGGTTCCGAACAGAAGACTATAAGGCTGATGGAAGAATTTATACATACCAAAATGACTTTTATGAGAAATTTTATAACATCTAGGCTTATTGAAAACAAGATAAGACATGACATAGATAGACCATGTCTCGGGACTAATCAACTTGCAGTGACGGTTATAGACTGACACATTTGTAAAACAAAAAAATCCTGCCGGCTAGAATGATATAATACAAGATATGTGTCAAAAACAAGGCCCGTAGGCTGAACCTGGCCCCGCTGGGCCATTTCATTTGACCCTTGCAACTCTCCTGCAGCTGTGGCACCCCGCTCGTCTCTGCCCCCATCTTGTCTCAGCAGTTGGCAGCAGAGAGGACAGAACTCCTCTGCCAGATCCTGCACTTCTCTGTGCAGCCGCAGCACCCACCTTGTTCCAGCAGTTGGCAGCAGACAGGACTCCTGTGTCAGATCCTGTGCCTCTCTGTGCAGTCACAGCACTCTCTCATCTCTGCCCCCACCTTGTCTCAGCAGGTGACAGCAGAGAGGAGGACAGAACTCCTCTGCTAGATCCTGCACTTCTCTGTGCAGCCCGCAGCACCTACTCATCTCCGCCCCCACCTTGTTCTAGCAGTTGGCAGTAGACAGAACTCCTCTGCCAGATCCTGCGCCTCTCTGTGCAGCCGCAGCACCCACTTATCTCCGCCCCCACCTTGTTCTAGCAGTTGGCAGTAGACAGAACTCCTCTGCCAGACCCTGCACTTCTCTGTGCAGCCGCAGCACCCACTCATCTCCGCCCCCACCTTGTTCCAGCAGTTGGCAGCAGACAGGACTCCTCTGACAGATCCTGTGCCTCTCAGTGCAGCCACAGCACCCACTCATCTCCTCCCCACCTTGTTCCAGCAGTTGGCAGCAGACAGGACTCCTCTGCCAGACCCTGCACTTCTCTGTGCAGCCACAGCACCCACCAATCTCCTCCCCCCCACCTTGTTTCAGCAGTTGGCAGCAGACAGGACTCCTCCTGCACCTCTCTGTGCAGCCGCAGCACTCTCTTGTCTCCGCCTCACCAGGTCTCAGCATTCAGCCGTCTCCAGCCCTCTTCTGGTTCTCCTCCAGATCCTGCACTTCCTGCTTCCCATCTCTGCCCCCAGTTTCTTCCCGGCAGCAACACAAGGCGAGAGGGGCTGCACTGTGATGTAAGGGAGGGTGGGGGACTCTTGACTTCGAATGGTGGGGGGGGCTATTGACATCCGATGTAATGGGGATGGGGTGCTCTGGACATCTAGTCATACAGATGCAACCATAATGCTAATGCAGTCTGCAATGAAATTGAGTTTGACTCCCCTGGACTACAATCTTCCACTCTGGAGAGGCGGAGAGGTAGGTAGGAGATTGATAGAGCAACTGCCCAGAGCTGGAGCCAAACAGAGGTGGTTTCAGTATTAAATCTGACTTTACACCCAGCCTGTCTACACTGCCATCCATCCAAAGTGATAGTTTTAGGTGGAGATCTCTTACGCTTGGTACCGATGATCCCTGATTGGTCACCTCACCTGGGGATTGCCGAATATCCCGCATTGCCTAATCCTGTCCACTGCTCAGGGGATCCCTACCTGCGGGGAAGCTGGACAAGCAGGAACTCCATCACCAGTTTGAGGAAGTGGAACACGGAGAGCTTGTAGAATTCCTGTCCCAGCGACGTCTCCCAGCACTGTACAGAGAAGAGACCGAACATATCCAATGAAGGCAAGATGTACAATAAATCACCTGGATATACAGTGAAGGAAATGCGTATTGGCTCCCCGGCTGATTTTGAATGTTTGCCCCTCACAAAGAATTGATCGGTATAAAAATCGAATGTTTGGTGTATTGTAACACTGAGAGACAGAATAGCAACAACAAATTCAGCAGAAATGCGTCTAACAAATGATGACTGATCTGCATGTTCATGAGGGAAATAGGGATTTGATCCCCTATCATTCAGCAGGATTTCTGGCTACCAGGTGTCTTTCATACAGGTAACAAGCTGAGATTAGAAGCAGTCTCCTAACCACTTCCAGTCCAGACACTTTCACCCCCTTCCAGTCCGGACACTTTCACCCCCTTCCAGTCCGGACACTTTCCTCCCCTTCCAGTCCGGACACTTTTCACCCCCTTCCAGTCCGGACACTTTCACCCCCTTCCAGTCTGGACACTTTCACCCCCTTCCAGTCCGGACACTTTCACCCCCTTCCAGTCCGGACACTTTCACCCCTTCCAGTCCGGACACTTTCACCCCCTTCCAGTCCGGACACTTTCACCCCCTTCCAGTCCGGACACTTTCACCCCCTTCCAGTCTGGACACTTTCACCCCCTTCCAGTCTGGACACTTTCACCCCTTCCAGTCCGGACACTTTCACCCCCTTCCAGTCCGGACACTTTCACCCCCTTCCAGTCCGGACACTTTCACCCCCTTCCAGTCTGGACACTTTCACCCCCTTCCAGTCTGGACACTTTCACCCCTTCCAGTCCGGACACTTTCACCCCCTTCCAGTCCGGACACTTTCACCCCCTTCCAGTTTGGACACTTTCATCCCCCTTCCAGTCCGGACACTTTCCCCCCCTTCCAGTCCGGACACTTTCCCCCCCTTCCAGTCCGGACACTTTCACCCCCTTCCAGTCCGGACACTTTCACCCCCTTCCAGTCCTGACACTTTCACCCCCCTTCCAGTCCGGACACTTTCCCCCCCTTCCAGTCTGGACACTTTCACCCCCTTCCAGTCTGGACACTTTCACCCCTTCCTGTCCGGACACTTTCACCCCCTTCCAGTCCGGACACTTTCCCCCCCTTCCAGTCCGGACACTTTCACCCCCTTCCAGTCCGGACACTTTCACCCCCTTCCAGTCTGGACACTTTCACCCCCTTCCAGTCTGGACACTTTCATCCCCCTTCCAGTCCGGACATTTTCCCCCATTCCAGTCCGGACACTTTTACCCTCTTCCAGTCCGGACACTTTCCCCCCCTTCCAGTCCGGACACTTTCCCCCCCTTCCAGTCCGGACACTTTCACCCCCTTCCAGTCCGGACACTTTCACCCCCTTCCAGTCCGGACACTTTCACCCCCTTCCTGTTCAGGCCAATTTTCAGCTTTCACTTGTGGTCATTGGGAAGAATTACCCGCTTACAGATTGCTAAAAAGATCAATGGTGTCAGTGGGAACTTACCCGAGAGGCAACAATTGCTCATTGCTCAAGGAACCCCTGACAACCTCTGGAGGAACCCTGATCTAGCCCCTTTCATTCATTGGATTTCATTTCTTTCAATCCTGAAGGCTCAGCATCTCATGTGGGTGTTACCTATGCAAATACCACCTGCCTAGGAACACCCACTCCTCCAGACTGACACTCACTCACCAAGGCATTTATTTGCATAACTCCTCCCAAGAGCCCGCCCACTGCTTTCATCAAGGCTGGGGGCTCTTTTGAGGAGTACAGAGACTGGGTGCTGTGATGTTTTCCAGAAGCCAGCACGCTGCAGGCCCCTCCCACCAGCCATGATCTGCACGAATAGCATAGAGAAGCACAGAGACCAATATGTGTCTATAATAAGGATTGTAACATCATCATTTGATGAAGGAACCAGGGGAGGCGAACTACAAGCAGAATGAACTTAAGCTGTAAAGGAAACCTGTATTATGAAAATTGCTGAGCTTCTCCTGAAAAGTGCCAGCGATGCGCCCAATGTGCTGAACCTGTAAATCCAATAAATTCACTGACCTGCAAAACGTATGCAGATTGAGGGCTGTCACTTCTATTCTGCTCCGTGTATAATGTCTATGTGCCATTAAAACAACTTTAAAATATAATTTTTTGGTCTTGAATCCCCACACCACATACTGTGCTTTACCTTGAATTGAGAGTTGTATCCGCAGGTCCTACAGGGCACCGGACTGCCCCCCAGGCACAGAAACTTCTGACCCAGAGAAAAGAAGAAGATTCCCAGAGCTCCAAGCCTAAGGAAGACACACCTGGGCAAGGAGTAAGGTGATACGTGTCTGTTAGTAGTGCTGCCATTAGTAATCATGGGCCCCGTACAGCCAGACTGACAGGGCCCCCAACCCCAGGAGCACCTCTTCCCCCCCAAAGTCTTGCAAAAAGTATTTTATGTACTTACCTGCTAGTGACATTGGCAGTCTACAGGCTGCAATAAAAGGTAATGTGTGCTGCTGTACAGAGGGGGGCAGGCTTTTCCCTGGACCTGTGTAGTGCAGGTGGGAACTGTGTAGAGCCTGTAGGAGGCGAGATATCTATAGAGAGTGCAGAGTGGGGGCCACTTTTCATTCACTGCTTAAACCAGCTCTGCAATCTAGTGGTGACTCTGATGGGGAGGCCTTGCAATCAGCTTAGGCCAGCTACTGCCTCCACAGGTACTACCATCATTCCCCAGCTCCAAGCTGGACTCACAAGCAAATGGGTAGTCCAGGCCTGGTATACGAGTACTGTCTGTGATTGACGAGAAGGGTAATACAGAGATAGGGTTGGCAGGAAGACTGATGGGGTGAGGGGGGTGGTAGGAACGGTAATTCAGAGACAAGGGTAGCAGGAAGGGTAGTGCGGTGATGGAGGTGGCAGGAAGGGTTATACAGGTGATGTGGTGGCAGAAAGGGTCATCTAGAACAGCAGAGATAAGGGAGGTAGGAATGGTAATATGGTGATGGGGGTGGCAGGAAGGGTAATACAGGTGATGGGGTTTGTGGGAAAAGTAATGCAGTTATGTGGTTGGTGGGAAGAGTAGTGTGGTAATGGGGTTGGTGGGAACAGAAATGCAGTGATGGGATTGGTGGGAACGGAAATGCAGTGATGGGATTGATGGGAAGGGTATTGTGGTTATGGGAGTGGCAGGAAGGGTAACGTGGTGATAGAGTTGGTGGGAAGGATAATGCAGTGATTAGGTTGGTGGAAAAAGTAATGCTATGATGGGATTGGTGGTAAGTGTAATGCGGTGATGGGGTTTGTGGGAAGGGTAATGTGGTGATGGGGTTAATGGAAAGAGCAGTGCAGAAATGGGGTTGGTTGGAAGGGTAATGCAGCGATGAGATTAGTAGGAAGGATACTTGTGGTGATAGAGTTGGTAGGAAGGATAATGCAGTGATGGGATTGGTAGGAAGGATACTGGTGGTGATAGAGTTGGTAGGAAGGATAATGCAGTGATGGGATTGGTAGGAAGGAAAACTGGTGGTGATAGAGTTGGTGGGAAAGATAATGCAGTGATGGGATTGGTAGGAAGGATACTGGTGGTGATAGAGTTGGTTGGAAGGGTAATGCAGTGATGAGATTAGTAGGAAGGATACTGGTGGTGATAAGAGTTGGTTGGAAGGATAATGCAGTGATGGGATTGGTAGGAAGGATACTGGTGGTGATAGAGTTGGTTGGAAGGGTAATGCAGTGATGGGATTGGTAGGAAGGATACTGGTGGTGATAAGAGTTGGTTGGAAAGGATAATGCAGTGATGGGATTGGTAGGAAGGATACTGGTGGTGATAGAGTTGGTTGGAAGGGTAATGCAGCGATGAGATTAGTAGGAAGGATACTGGTGGTGATAAGAGTTGGTTGGAAGGGTAATGCAGTGATGGGATTGGTAGGAAGGATACTGGTGGTGATAAGAGTTGGTTGGAAGGGTAATGCAGTGATGGGATTGGTAGGAAGGATACTGGTGGTGATAGAGTTGGTTGGAAGGGTAATGCAGTGATGGGATTGGTAGGAAGGATACTGGTGGTGATAGAGTTGGTAGGAAGGATAATGCAGTGATGGGATTGGTAGGAAGGATATTGGTGGTGATAGAGTTGATAGGAAGGATAATGCAGTGATGGGATTGGTAGGAAGGATACTGGTGGTGATAGAGTTGGTTGGAAGGGTAATGCAGTGATTAGGTTAGTGGAAAAGGTAATGCTGTGATGGGATTAATGAGAAATGTAATGGGACTGGCGGGAAGGTTAATAGGGTGATAGGGTAGGAGGGAAGGGTAGGGATGTGAAGGACAGCATTCTTGGATCTTCAACTATATGCAACCATCTTTCAGCTGCAAAACCAATATGGAATAGTAATGTAGAAATAGGGGTGGCAGGAAAGGTAATGTGGTTATAGGGTTGGTGGGAAGGATAATGCAGTGATTGGATTGGGGGAAGGGTGATGTCTTGGTGGGGTTAGTGGAAAAGGTAATGTGGTGATGGGGATGGTCGGAAGGGTTATGCAGAGATAGGGGTGGCAGGAAGGGTAATGCAGGATTGGGATTGGTGGGAAGAGTAATGAGGCAATGGGGTTGGTGGGAAAGGTGATGTGTTGGTGGGATTAGCTGGAAGGGTAATGCCCTGATAGGGTTGGTGATGTAAGGATGTGAGGGGCAGGGTTCTAGAGTAATGAGGTAATGGGGTTTGTGGGAAGGGTAGTGCAGCAATGGGGTTGGTGGGAAAGGCAATGCAGTGATGGGATTGGTGGGAAGAGTGGGAAGGGTATTGTGGTGATGAGAGTGGCAGGAAGGGTAATGTGGTGTTGGGGAAGGTGGGAAGAATAATACAGTGATTACGTTTGTGGAAAAAGTAATGTGTGATAGGACTGGTGGGAAAGGGTTCTAGAGTAATTCTAGAGTAATGAGGTAATATGGTTTGTGCGAAGGGTAATGCAGTGATGAGATTGGTCGGAAGGGTTGTGCTGTAATGGGGTTGGTGTGAAGGGTAATGCAGTGATGAGATTGGTGGGAAAGGTAGTGTGGTAATGGGGTTGGTGGGAAGGGTAATGCAGTGATGAGATTGGTGGGAAAGATAGTGTGGTAATGGGGTTGGTGGGAAGGGTAATGCAGTGATGGGGTTGATAGGAAGAGTTGTGCGGTAATGGGGTTGGTTGGAAGGGTAATTCAGTGATGAGATTGGTGGGAAGGGTAGAGCGGTAATGGGGTTGGTTGGAAGTTTAATTCAATGATGGGACTGGTGGGAAGGGTAGTGCGGTAACTGGGTTGGTGGGAAGGGTAATGCAGTCACGGGGTTGATGGGAAAATGAGTGCTGTATTGGGGTTTGTGGGAAGGGTAATGTAGTGGTGAGATTGGTCGGGAGGGTAGTGCGGTAATGGGTTTGGTTGGAAGGGTAATGAAGTTATGGGAGTGGTGGGAAGGGTAGTGCGGTAATGGAGTTGGTGGGAAGGGTAATGTAGTGTTAGGGTTGTTGGAAAGGGTAGTGCGGTAATGGGTTTGGATGGAAAGGTAATGCAGCAATGAGATTGGTGCAAAGGGTAGTACGGTAATGGGTTTGGTTTGAAAGGGTAATGCAGCAATGGGACTGGTGGGAAGGGCAGTGCAGTAATGGGTTTGGTGGGAGGGGTAATGCAGTGATGGGGTTGACAGAAAGAGTTGTGCGGTAATGGGGTTGGTTGGAAGGGTAATGCCGTGATGAGATTGGTGGGTAGGGTAGTGCGGTAATGGGGTTGGTGGGAAGATTAGTACGGTAATTATGTTGGTGGGAAGGGTAATGCAGTGATGAGATTGGTGGGAAGAGTAGTGGGGTAATGGGGTTGGTTGGAAGGGTTATTTAATGATGGGACGGGTGGGAAGGGTAGTGCGGTGATAGGGTTAATGGGAAAAGTCATGAGGAAATGAGGTTGGTTGAAAGGGTAATGCAGATATGAGATTGGTGGGAAGTGTAGTGTGATAATGGGGTTGGTGGGAAGGGTAGTGCAGTGACTGGGTTGATGGGGAGAGCAGTGTGGTAATGGGATTGGTGGAAGGGTAATGCAGTGATGGGGTTGGTGAGAAGGGCAATGCGGTGATGGGGTTGGCGGGAAGGGTAATGGGGTGATGCGGTTGGTGGGAAGGGTAATGCGGTGATGGGGTTGGCGGGAAGGGTAATAGGGTGATGCGGTTGGTGGGAAGGGTAATGCGGTGATGGGGTTGGCGGGAAGGGTAATAGGGTGATGCGATTGGTGGGAAGGGTAATGAGGTGATAGGGTTGGCGGGAAGGGTAATGGGGTGATGGGGTTGGTGAGATGGGTAATGGGGTGATGCGGTTGGTGGGAAGGGTAATGGGGTGATGGGGTTGGTGAGAAGGGTAATTGGGTGATGGAGTTGGTTCGAACAGAATAATAGGGTGAAAGGATTGGTGGGATGGGTAATGGGGGGTGTTTTGGTTGGTGGGAAGGATAATACAATGATGACATTGATGGGAAGGGTAAAGCAGGTAAGGGATTGGTGGGAAGGGTAATGTGGTGATGGGGTTGGTCTCTTATGTCGATTCATTCTTGTTTATTTCTGTAGATATCTTGATATTTAAGCCTTTCTCAGTTCTGAAGAAGCGGGGAAATGTGCGAAACACGTTGACTGATGCTTGAACTTGGATGCAATGTTGCAATGAGACATTATTTTCAAAAGTGATTTTATGGAATAAGTGGATTTTAATGACTATAAAGTATTGCTGTCTATTTTTATATTTACGTGTAAAACGTTCATTGCAAACATTTCTGTGGCCGTCCATGGAAACCCCTTCTTCTTCTACCATATTTAGTAGTCGAATGTGATCCATACATGCAGTATAATTCATCTACAATCGTTTTTACGACTGACCTGATCAGGGTGAGGGTGATCTCCACGCACGGGGTGACTGACCCTCAAATTTCACCAGCAGCATAAAGAACTGAGGCAGGATGAAGAGAACCAGCGAGATGACAATCGGGGCGAGATACTGGATCACCAGTCCAGCAACTGGACTACCCGACCTCTGCGGGACAAAGAAAAACGTTACAAAGACTGGATGAAAAAAAAACAAAAAAAACAAACAAACAAAAATACATCAATAAAATAAAAATCCTAAACTCGGCGTTGATCCAGAGGAAGGTTAAAAAAATCCTATCAAGTACAGTCCAACTTCCTCCCGATTCATTTATTTCCTGGATCCTCCATTCGGGGGGGGGGGGGGGGGGGGGGGGGTGGTATTTGCGAAAACTGGTGCACGCAGAATCTGGTGCAGCTCTGCATAGTAACCAATCAGCTTCCAGGTTTTATTG